GTCAACCAGCCTAAGACTGTGACCGAGTTCCTTAAGCTCGCAGATAGACCTGTTCATGGGCCGGGTGGTTCATGGGCTGGGTGGCCCGACGGGCCAGCCTAGCCGGCCCGGCCCCCGGACGGGCTTGAACTGGTATATGGACTCGCGGGCTTAACCTCGGGCCAAAAAGCCCGACCCGCAATAAATTCGAGCCGAGCTCGGGATTTGCCAAAATAGTCCGGCCCGAGCCCGGCCCTACTCGACCTATAATTAAACCTAAAAACCCTAGTCGAATACCCCTCTTCTTTTCACCTCTTTCCCTTATTTTTCCAACCGAACCCTTCTTCCCCACATCCTTTTTCCCTTCTTTATATTCTTTTTTTAATGTAAATAAATTTTGAATTTATATTCTTTTTTAAATATAAATAAATTCTAATTTATATTGATTATTGAATAGGGAAAAATTCTAATTTTTTTATTAGGTCGGGTTTCGGGCTTTTTATCAGGGCCGGGCTCGGGCCCAAGTTGTAGCCTGTTGGTCGGGATGGGCTCAGGCTTGAGCCTAACATATTTCCATTAATGAAGAGTAAAAGCCCGGCTCGACCCATGAACAGGTCTACTCGCGGACCAGTTCATAGGAACGGAGGAGGAGATTAACCAGAAGAATGAAAATGTGCCTGAAAAGAGGAAAAGAGAAACTGAGTCCTCGACCCATGGGGACAGCAAGAAGAAGAAAGGCCCAGCTCGGGGGGCAAGACCAGGTCAACCTTTCTGAGCCCCTCCAGTAGAAATAACTGACTACACACCCCTGAACGCGAAGCGGTCCGAGATCCTCATGGCAATCAAAGACGCCCCCATATGTGAAGTGGCCACCCCGACTGAAAGGAGACCCCAATGTAAGGAATAAGAATCTGTATTGTAGTTTTCATAAAGATCACAGTCACAGTACCGAAAGTTGTAAGAACCTCCGCGGCGAGATAGAAGAGCTCATTCGTCGTGGATACTTAAGGAATTTTGTTCAAAACAGTAATAATAAGGCAGGTCGGCAAGGGGAGCAGGGTAGAGATGCTCTCGAGCCCAGTAGCAGGCAAGCAGAGTAGCTGCAGCGGTAGCCCCTGGAGAGAGACCAGTTTGGGGGACTATTCATGTGATCGTCGCGGGCTGCACTTCGGCTGCAGCTCGGATTTCAGCTTGAGAGGTCAAAAGGGAGGAGCAGAAACCCCCGAAGCGGCCAAGGACAGAAGACCCGATCTTCTTCACTAAGGACGATGCGCATGGGGTCCACTACCCCCACGATGACGCGCTCGTCGTAATGATAAGGATTAATGACTTCAAAATCAAGCGTGTCCTCGTCAACTTCGGCAGCTCGACAGACATTCTTTTCAAGGAAGCATTTGGCAAGCTTCAGCTCCAAGAGAGCGACCTCAAGCCTGCAAGTACTCCCTTGGTGGGCTTTAGCAGAGAGGAAGTCAAGCCCTTGGGGAGAATCACAGTACCTGTGGAAGTCGGCACCTGGCCTAGCATAGTAAGGCTTAACCACGACTTCTTGGTGGTCGCAACTCCCTCCCCGTACAACGCCATAATAGGACGGCCCATCACCCACGCTCTACGTGCGGTGGTCTCCACCTATTATTTGGCGATGAAGTTCCCCACGGACTTCGGAGTCGGGGTAGCGCGAGGCAATCAGCTCGAGTCTCGTAAGTGCTACGTCGCCGCCCTCAAAGGGAAAGCCAAGGTGGCCGACGACGACTTGTTGCAAGTCAGCTCACTATTGGAGCTCGCTACAAAGGAGTTCGTTACAAGGGAGCTCACTACAAAGGGGCTCGTTTTTGAGCAAACCGGAGTTTTCGGGAAACTCCTTATCCGACAAGACCGTGCCTGTCAAACTGCTCTCACGTCTCTTGTCTGGCGGCGCAGCACCTGCCAGTCCAGAGGACTGCGCCCACGTCTCACGTCAGGCGGCGTCGTGCATGCCTGCTCTGCATAATGTCTCTCAACTGACAGGACCGTACTCTATGACGATTACCTGCACCAATCGAATCAGCCTGGCGAATAACGGCTGTAGCAGAGAATAAGAGGCGGTTACACCCGATTTGACAGAGCATCAGTATATAAAGGCCCCGATTTCCAAGGGGCAAGGTAATTTATGACGAAGTGCACATCTCCACTCTTAGCTCTTATTTTCATTACAACTCGCTCAGTTCCCCTCCGAGTTCTAACTTAAGCATCGGAGTGTTCATGGTGGGCGAGCTCCCCGGGAATCCTTTGTCTTCTTCTCCTTCTCAGGTATTGTCCGTTGCCAGATAGGAGCGAGGCCCCTACCAGGTAGGAGTCGCGCTACATCATCAAATATTAGGTTAACACCAAAAGCCAGGAAATTGAAGATAAATAAAACTTATAAAACAACGAATACTAAGACATGTTTACCTTCCAACCATTGATTTAGTCAATGACTCATTGATATGGATGATTGAACCATCGATCTGGACAATGATTGAACCATTCAACCCAATAACAGGTTCCCAAAACAGTTTTCTGTCTAATCCAATTTTAAAAACCTTGCCTTAGGCCTGGACTTATGTTTTGCCCTTCCATCCATGTTTACTAATTTTGTCCCCCTCTACAAAAGGGACCGGGTTTAGTAAGCATAAGTACGTTGAATGAGCATTTTCTAAATATACTAACAACCGTCAAAAGTGGTTTTTAATCATTTTGAAGGGTAGATTGGGGATATTTTAAGGGGGCATGTGTTAAAAATTTTCTAAGTGGTCATTAAACCTTATCTGAAAAAAAATCATAGCTTCGCCCCTTACAAACTTGTATGAATTTGACTGTATGCCACATAATGTGCCAATCTATTATGTATAAATCTTGTTGAATGTTAAATTACACGTTACTGAAAAACAATTTATTGGTTGATATCTGAATTTAATGTACAATCAATATTAATGAATCCACCGTTGAACATATACGATCATCCAACATAGAGCATACAAGGAATCATCAACGACATCATGCTCACATTAGCAAAATCCCTTTCCTAATTTAAGAAGTTAGAATTTCATTGGTTTAAAAATCTCATCAGTTTTTGAGCATGGAACTATGAATTCTGTGATTCCAGAACCATAAACCTATCTAAAAGAACACCAAGTCGTGACTTTCGTGGTAAAAAATTGAACAGAACATGGAACAAACCACCGATAGAACATCCCTGTCATGTTGGCATTATTAAATATATATATATATATATATATATATATAATTAAGCTGTTAATAATTAAGGAGCAACATAATCTTTTTCGGATTAGCATAAATCAAATATATATACTTCTCGATATGATTATGCTTATTACTTATTTTAACATGCATGTATGTGCATACATATAACCAATTTAGGGCTTGTTTGATACCATGTTTTCAGACAACATTTATGCTTTAGAAATTAATAAAAAGTAAGTAGATGGGTTGTGCATACATTTATATTATTTTATTTAAGCTAATTAAAGTTTCGTTAGGCATCACATAAACCAAAAATGATAAAAAGTGAAATACCAATTTGGTATTTAATGTAATTATAAATTTTACACAACTTGAAATGGTTTTGGATGAAACAGCCATGCACCTAAATGGTACTGATGTGTAATTACAAAAATAATAGCAATGGTAAAGCACATGTAGCAGTGTTGTGGTGCATGAATGATTCAAGCTAACTTTGTTGTTTCTTCCCTGATTTTAACATGGATGGATTATAACACATTAAATATTCTCCAGATTAGCTCCATTTGATGACTATGTTAAGTTCTGTTTAAACAATAATAATGCATCACATCAACCATTAGGTATATGCGTGCCTACAACCCCTCAAATCTCTTACTTCACATGCATATGTGACATTGGTTAAACAGTGCCTTGAACATGAGACTTTAATTTATTATTATTGAAAAAGACCTACAAGCAGAGGGTCTTCTTATTCTTGAAGACAGAAGACAGAGATAAAAATCACCTTGATGGATATGTTATAGGGCATACACACTTTATGAATGATGTGGCCATATGGGCCTTATTATTGATTAGACGTCCCTTTACACAGTTCATCAAATTCGGTTAATCTGACCTCTTTTTCTTATAAATCCAAAAGCTGGAGTCAGAGTCAAAGGTAAATGGCTTCATCCTTATCACCTAACATCCTTCACACTGTCTCAACAGTTTAATGTACAAATGTAACAGTGAACAATAAATAAAGCCATATTAGTTGGATTGCTCGAATAAGGTTGGACGACCCAGATTAAACTACGTAAGGGCTATGCGTATGCCTATGCCCAACCCAAAAAATAAAAGGGCTTTTTATATTTCAGTCTACCCTTAGGGTAGAGCTAGTTTATCCCTAAGAAAAACCCCAAAGCCTTGAATCCTAATCTATTCTGACTGAAAATCCAAATCCAATAGTCAGTAGTAATCTGGAGAAACGATAGAGGTAGCCCACCAGAACGTGAAGAACCGGGATGCGCTGCCTGCGTGCCTATGAACCTAAGTATTGAATTCATAAGAAAAGCCAGAAGCAATATTATTCTAACTAATAAAAAAGAAGAATACTCTTCAAGTTGGAAGTAGAAAGTTGAAACTAGGACAGGGAAAGGAGGAATCCATGAGCTAAGAGCAATCATCCATATCTGCTGTAAAGACTAATATGTACTAGCAAGTTTGCTCCAGCCTCCAGCTAGCAAGTCCTCTGAGAAAAGGGGTGTGGACACGTGTACTGAAAAAAAATATCCAGTGGGATACTTGGTAGTTGACGTCATTTAAACGGTGGGACACTTAGAATTGTGTACTAAAAGTCTAAAACATCCATCATATCCAACCCACTGCGTGCATAGTAGACTAAAGGGAGAATGACCATTCAGCCCATATCAGAATTTTATAACCTTAAAGTACAAGGGAAATGCATCCTGACCGTGAATCCGTACTTATCCATATAAATATCTGTCATCTTTAGATACGTTGAACCAACTACGCGTCCAGCTCCGGGAATAAGCAGAATTTTGAATTGTCTACCACATTACAGCGCACACAGCCACACACAAACACAGAGCTGGAATGATCCTTCTGTGTTTCCTTCCTCGCGCTCCGTATCGATCGATGAAGACGATGATGCTGAGTTGAAAGTTCCATTATCTTGGTATATCACTAGTTTCCCATCAGAACAAGGCTTTCCTCTTCTCCGTTCTCGTGGTATCATGGATCAACAAGGTTTCTTTCTCTCTCTCTCTCTGGGTTTCATCATTTTCCTTTTCCTTATTCCGCAACTGATTCTTATTAGAGATTCCTTATTTTCGCATTTTGTTGGAGATTTCTTGAGCCAGTAAGGTCAGCAGATCAGGACTGTTGTTTAAATGGGTGTTTAAGATAAGTTTTCACAAGTGAACTGGGTTCTGTAATATGAACTTGTTATAGAGAAATCAGAAATGTGTTCTTTATATTACTTGTTATAGAACTATGGATTTGATGATTCCTTCTTTGGGAGCCCGGATCGGCTGAAGGCTGAAGACCTGAAGCTACGTCTGTCGCAGTATTCCCAATAAAAAAACTTAAAAAATGAACACGTTGTATGTTTAATCCAATCGTATACGTTTAAGCAGTCCTACGTGTCAGTGTTAACTTTTTAAAATTGATCTTTACCCTTTTTGCCCATATCCTTCCTCGCAATCTCCAGTCTCCCTTATCACAACCCCATCCACCGCTGGAAGCGCTCTGTCCATCCGGCCAGTCACAAGAATCTGCTTGACCAATTCATAGGTTTAGTTAAGTACAAGCATCTATTCTAAAGTCTAAAAAATCGGCAATTTCATCATGTGAATCATTTGATTTTGAAGTGAACTCAACAGCCATTCGTTCATCCTGTAAGCAGCCACTAGTAATGGTTGCAGGATTTTGCTTTCAGGGTGTTCACAATTGCTTTCAGGAGATCCTGGCCGTTCCTTGTGATCCCAAGACTCCGCTATAACTAGCCAGGGAACTTCTTTACCAACTCACCCACCATCTGAACGTATACTTGTCCGCAATAACCCATCCATTCAAATGAACTGACTCTAGCAAAATTCCACCAATTCTTCTCCATTTCGCTTGGTTTTCTGCATCACAATTTATGTGTTATGTTGTAGCGCGCGATGACTAGCATAAACCTTATCTGGGCTTGTCTGTTGGCCATTAATTCAACGTAAGTTTATAAAGAAGCATGTATGATTAAGGCGACTAGTTTTACTTACATCTCAAGTCCTTAGATGTTGTAAATTAATAAAGAACTGGTTCATTTAGGTCTCGTGCGATGATTTTAGCATTAATATTTAAAAGCTTTGGACTTAGAAATTTGTTGATAAGATATATGTCCAACATCGATTTCAGATTATTAAGATAAAACTTTTCTACCATTTCTGGTTCCACAGATGGAGGAGGACGAGGCGGAGAAGGAAAATATGAAGAAATGCCCTTCAATCAGCAAGAATATTTTTGCAACTTCAGCAATAAGCGTGCTTTTGGTAATTATGTTTTGTTTGATCTCAATGAGCAGAAACAGAACAACAACGCTGAACCACCAAACAAGAAACGATCTAGACACCAAGAAACAAGTATTAGTGATAAAATCAGCACTCAAGATCTCATTAGCTACCTACCCGATGAATGCATCTGGGAGATATTCAGATATCTTCCTTCCACGAGAGACCGTTGTTGTTGCGCTGCTGTGTCCAAGAAATGGCTAGCTATACAAGCCAAAATGCGGATCTCTGAGTTCAAATCTAAGCCAAAATCCAGCAATATTATCACTAGTGCTTTAGGTTTAGACCACCACAAAGGAAGCCAAAAATTTTCGAGATGCTTAGAAGGAAAGAAAGCAAATGATACACGGTTAGCTGCAATGGCTGTAGGCATCTGTCTTCATGGGGGACTAAGTGAGCTCTGTGTCAGAGGAAGCTTCCCTACTCAAGGGATCACGGATGTCGGCCTTAGTGTCATTTCCCAGGCTTGCCCAGGCCTGAGGTCTATATCCCTGTGGGATTGCATCAAGGTTGGAAACAAGGGAATTGTGTCTGTGGCAACAAGTTGCAGCTCACTCGAGAAGCTTGATCTAGTTAATTTGCCATTGGTCGATGATAAAGCTCTTGCATCCATAGCTAAGAACTGTCCTAGTCTGTCTTCTTTGGTCATAGAATTATGCCCACTGGTCGGAGACACGTCGCTCGAGGCTTTCGCAAGATATTCTTCAAAAATTGAATTTGTCTCTCTAGCGAAATGTCAACTTATCAACGCCAGTGCCGTTATTTTGATTATTTCCAGCTTGCCCAAGTTGACAAAACTTAAACTTTCTTCGGTGAGTATTAGCGATGGTGTCCTGCAAGTGATAGGAACGCAAGGAAAATCTCTTAGTTGCATTTTAGTTGACAACATTTCAGGCATCACTGAGGTGGGATTTTGCTCAATTGGAGAATACAAAAATTTGAACTTCTTACCCTTGAAATCCTGCTCCGATTTAAATGGTTCAAGTTTGAATGCAATCAGTGATGGATTTGTTGGATTGAAGAAGATATCAATGCGGAAGTGCAAGAGTTTAACAGATGATGGCTTGAAATGGTTAACCAAAACAACTCCACTGCTCGAGAGCCTCGAACTGGAGGAATGTCATTCTGTTACATGGCATGGTTTAATAGAAGTCTTCAGGAACCGGAGTGAGACACTGAAGGCGTTATCATTGATAAAATGTCGAGGAATAGCAGACGTCGACCCTTCAAATTGCAAAGCAATTTCTCTACCGAAATATCCTTGTTTACATTCTCTAGTACTGAAGAAATGTGACGGAGTTGGAGATACATTCTTGGCATGGATGGGACGAGCGTGCTTGCAGGTTAAGCACCTCACACTTACAGGACTGAAGTCAATCACAGACCAAGGCGTTGAAAACCTTATTCGAGCACTTGAGACGGAGCAAAACCGACGGATTAGTGTCGATTTAAGTGGGTGTTCTCGTATCACAGATTGGAGTGTTTTTGTTATAACAAGCTTAATTGGTGACAAGCTTCGATCATTGATGTTAGACTGGTGTGAAAAATTGACCGACCTAAGCTTGAAGATGATAGCTGAGCGTTGCGCTTGCTTGTTGGACCTAGGCCTCTCTGGGTGTCGCATCAGTGACGATGGTGTGTATTGCTTGGTTGCTTCAAAGCTGCAGTGTTTAGAGGTGGTCTCCTTTGCAGGTTGTGTGGGTATCAGTGATCAGAGCTTGCATTACCTCCGGATGCTGCGTTGTTATTTGGTGGGGTTGAATCTTATGCACTGCCCAAAGCTCACTAAAGAGGGAATTGACAGAATGAGAGAGAATTTATGGTGGTGTGATTTGTTGCATTAGGCTTTTTCTTCATGGAAACATGTACAGTTTTGGTCAAATTCAGTGGCACCCCGCGTCCTCTGTACATGAACATGCCATGCACCTATTACATGATGATCGATGGGGCCGATCGATCAGTATTTGAAAGATTGAGATTCATGCATCATTTTAGGCCTTTTTGTTTTTGTTTTGTTAATTCTTGGCAGGAAAGAGGATAGGGGGCATGACTGACTGTTGACAACCTATTAATTTGTGAATTGTGAGCAAATTAAAGAAGCAAATATAATAATCAGTTGAGTTCACAAGGGGAGGGAGAGGAGGGTCTCCCGCCAGGCGCCAGCTGCTGCTATTTGGAGCATTAGCTAGCCTACAATTTTAGTTGTGTGAACATGTATGTGCATATTCTCCCACAGCCTCAACACCTCCATTTTCTATTTCTATTGCTGTACTTGAAGATTTTATTGTTCTCTTCTTTCGCATATATAGGAATTTTATTTCTTTCAACTGTATATTTTTAGAAAATTTTGCTCAGACTATTTTGGACGCCAGCATAGTTTAAATTAAATTAAAGGGTACCACCGTACACGCTATTTTATTAAATTAAATGCTGAAGCTTTTTGCAGTGCTGACGACGTTCGATCTGATTACATGTGCGTCACTTGAACCGTCAATCAAAGCATCTTCACAAATCACAGGGACCCTACTCAACTGATCGACCCGTGTCAGCCTGTCAAGATTCAATATCTCGGATCGAAAATCCGAATTCGATCTGAAATTAATCCGATCAGATTTATATATCTCGGACCGGATTCGGATTTAATCCGTCTACACTTCAATTTTTTCATAAAGAAAAAAAATAAAATTAATTAATTACTTTTTAACTTATATCTGATTAAATTTATAATATATGAAAATTATCTATATATAAAATTATATATTTATATAATTATATAAATTTTATATATTTAAATCATCATACATATTTATTATAATATAATTGGATTTGGATTTTAATTGTATCATACAAGTTAAATCCACATCCAATAGATCATCCAAATGCAAAATAATCAAATTGGATGTCATTCCGTTTTTGGACATTTAGTGATGTTTGGCATGCATCCCAATTTTCTAGAAATCGGTGTCACATCGGAATCACCTTAACCCACTCATATTGACCCTTATCCACTCTCACCCATACTAATTCGCCTACATTCTTCACCTATAAATACAGAAACAGGTTAGGTGAACCCATATACCCAAAAAACAACTTTTGAGAGAACAAACTCTCTCGAGTCTATCACGTGCAACAAATAGGTTAGATTGATCTGTTATCCTAAAATAGGATTTTTGAGAGAATACCAACGTGATAGAAACGAGTCAGCCAATCCGTATACCCAAAAATAACATTTTTGAGAGAATAATCTCTACCAAGGCTACCACGTGGAAAAAACGGGTTGAGACAGAAATATTGAAAAAATGCAAAAATTTTGCAAAAAAATATTGGAAATTGCAGAAAATGCAAAAACGACAGAAATATTGCAGAAAATGTAGAAAAATACAGAAAATACCAGAAAATTGCAGAAATTAATGAAAACACAAGAAAAATGCAGAAATTATGTAGAGAAGTTTCAGAAAATTCAGAAAAAATATAGAAAAATAACAGATAAGTTGTGAAAAAATGCAGAAAATACCAGAAATTGCAGAAAATAGTAGAAAGTGCAAAAAATGCATAACTTTTGCAGAAAAATTGCAAAATAATGTAGAAAGTACCAGGAATTTGATGAAAACACAAAAAATGCTTAAATTATGCAGAAAATTTCCAGAAAACTAAAAAAATGCAGAAAAAATACTAGAAAATACAGAAAATTGCATGAAATACAAAAAATACCAGAAAATCGAAAAAATAATGCACAGAATAACAGAAAATTGCAGGAAATACAAAAAATAACAGAAAATGTAGAAAAATACCAGAAGATTACAAAAACAATGCAGAAAATATAATAAAGTTTCAGAGAAATACCCAAAAATTGCAGAAAATAACATAAAATAGCAAACAATTTCAAAAATTATGCAAAAAAGTACAAAAAAAATTCAGGAAATGCAGAAAATAGCAAAAATTGCAGAAATGTCTGAAATGCAAAAAGCAATGCATAACTTTTATAGAAAGAAATCAAAAAATTCAAAAAAAAACAAAAAACAAAAAGAATTGTAGAAAATGCATGAAAACACCAAAAAAACATAGCAAAAATGGTAGGAGGAAGGCTCAACCTTTACCCAGAAACCTTTGGCCTGAATAGAGACTTTCGAATTATTAAAGCCAAGGATTAAAGTATCGGTATGGAGTATCGGCTGTTATATCGGATAACACGAATACGGATACACTTTGGAAATGCATGGATACAGATAAAAAATATGGAAACGTATAGATATGCTAGGGAAATACATACAAATTTTATAAATACATTAATAACACTAAATTTAAGATCAAAATAATCACAAAATAGCAATACATGGGAAATGTAAATTTTAATGATATATAATAAGAAATATATTACAATTAGTATACTAGGATGTGTAGCTATCATATAAATTTATTTACAATGGATCAATCAAGAGTCCAAGACACTAAAAATATGGACCTATTATATTTTACTTATTATATCAATTATTATTTTATTTTATTATGTTAATTTTTTTTAAATTAACAAAAATCAACTCAAATTAAAATATGAATTAAAAATTTATAAAAATATAATCTTAACTTAGAGTGTATCAACTTTGTTAAAAATTCTACGATACATATCATATACAAATTCATAGTTTTTAATCACTAAAATAATTATTCCATTATTAATATTTTTATCTATAAATTTTATGAAATAAAAACCATTTTTTGAAATAAATGTACATTAGTGCATTTGATAGATTCAATTTAATATTATATTCTTCAATACTTTTGTTTATAATATTTTTATTTTTTGTAAATAATAAATATTTTTTATTACCTATTAATGTAAATTAAAATATTAGTTAATAATTTATAAAAATATATATAAATTTTATTATTTATATCATGTGTGAATTTATAAATTTTAAGTATTAAAATAATTATTCTAATATTAATATTATATTTGTATAATTTTTTATATTAATAATCATCTTTTTATATAAATATAGATTTGAAACATTATTCATTCTATTAGTTTATAAAATAATATTTTTTTAATTTTTTGTTAGAGTTGTTAAATATAAATATTTGTTTTTTGTTTAAATTTCATGTGAACACAAAAGATAATAAAATCTTTTGTATATCACTTTTAATCACAAAATTGCATTTGACTTGGTGGCTTGAAATAGAAGGAGAATGTTAACACGCTAGGTGGATTCAAGTTTGAGTCTCCTTAAATTCATTTTTTATTGTGAGGCTTGGCAAAATCGTTGACCCAACCCATCTTGACCATAATGGGTACCTCGACCCAACCCACCCTAACCCTTTTTCACTGACCCTTATGGATTGCTCAACCCATATTTTCACACCAATAGAATGGGTGGGTTCCAAGGTGGATGGATTGGGTGGGTCAAATGGGTTGGGGTCAAGATTGCCTACCCTAATTAAGATAGAGGTCTATTTGAGTCTCGACCTGACAGAGAGTGAATCCAACCCCAGACACTCAATCACAAAGAAATCAGACTCTTCTAGAATCTTCTAAACCATTTCTTTGACCACTTGAAATGGTTTTTTAAAGTATTTTAAGAAAATGTTCTTTTAATAATTAAATAATATTAAAAAAATATATTCTAAAATTTTGAAAAGAAAAGTTAAAAAATATAATATATTCGATACAAAATACCAATGCATCCCTGCTAGCATATTAGTGTATCAATATTTGTACCTTAAGTTGTATTTGGTTGCAATGCAAATAAATTTGCCCTGATGCAAAACCAAGGAAATGCAAATGATTTGATTGTAAATTCTTACCTATTTTTGTTTCAAATTTTATCTTGTTTTGTTTGATTACACTACAAATGGAGTAAATTAAGACATGAAGCAAAATAAAGTAAAATCCAAAACAAAATTAAACAAGGTTTTTTTATTTTTTACATTTGCACTCCCACGCATTTGTACTAGTGCAAATAAATTTATCTTACAACCAAACACAGCCTTAATTGCAAAAAAAAAAAAAAAAAAATCCATTGCTAATTCACACTCTTTCCACCGCCGAACGAAGCTTCGAAAAGACAACCGAGCACCGCCAAGCAATCGAAGGACTCCACAGTTTGTAAAGCCCCGTTTGGCATCAATTCTAATATTTCTCATTCTTAGAATCCATCCAGAAAAGAACAGATTCTAGATTTTCTTGATTCTAAGAATATATGTGTGAACATTTGGCACACCTTTTTCTCATAATCAAGATCAAGTCTGGAAACAAATCATTGAGAAGGGAACTCTAGATTTGAAACGATCACAGCCGAGAATTCAATTGCCTTGTGAGCACATGACTCATGGAATGGTTAAGTCGTAGAGGTGAAGAGGATGAAACCATCGTGGTGGAAGATAATTAAGAGATGGAGCTTGGAATCGAGAGTGATTTCACTAGGGCGAAAGATGCAAACCCAAGTCTTGGTGGGGTTGATAGTAACGTCTTTGGTAAGGATGGGTTGGAGCGAGTCAGAAACATCACCAATTGCTGGAATATCAAAGCTCAAATGGTGTCAGGTGAGAGAGCTATCCAGGTTAGGAATGATTTTGAGGTATTCATAGGGATTGATGGAGCTTGCAGTTAAGGAGGGATCTACCATGATATCTAGAACTTTTGACTGAAGTACAGTGCCAATCAATCAATGACCAAAGCTCAGCTACTAAGAAGGAAATAGGAATTAGAAAACAAGAAGAAATAATTGAAGGAAGGGGAAGAAGAAATACAAGGAAAAAATGTGAGAAAGAACCAAGATTTTACCTGAGATTTTGGCTGGCGCCGAAGGACCGTTATAGAGCTGTTGAGGTTGGAATAATTGAAGAAGGGGAAGAAGAAGAAGGGAATGGGGTATGGTGTCAAGTAGGTGCTTTAAGAATATGATTATTATTGATGTAAGCAAGGTGGTTAGGTTACGTACAATGGTCTCCTTGAAGGACAAAGGAAGACC